CCCCCCCCGCGATCAATCCCCGAAGGCGATAAGCACGTCTACAAGTTTGCCCGAGTTAATTTCAAAATTAATTGGCAACACGTCAACCACACCAGTGATCAAAGACTCGCCGAGTAATTTAACCCCTCAAAAATGACCCCCAAATTGCCGCCTTTTCGATGATTAAACAATCCACAGACTAGATCAACGGAAATATTTCAAAGGAGATGATAATTGACTTGAGCACTGAGTGGATCGACCACTTCCGCTCGATAGCTCTCCTCTAATTGTAAACATGTCAACAGTGTTTCTTCTCTCGATTCGTGAGGGAGTCATTTTTTCCGGGGCGTATTAACACACGTCCTCTTTCGCAGGCCATTTACCACGATCTATCAAATTTCCAGACATTTGTTTTTAATTAACATGGAATCACCCAGGGCGAGAGACGCAAACAACTATACACGTGGGATTAACGCTGGCGTGAGGCTAAAATAAGACTTCGGGAAGAGGAATTACGCCTTCTTGCGAGGACGCTTCATTGATTTTTTATCGTGAATTTTTTTTATTATGACTCAGTGGTGAATATCTCGAGATCTAAGGCAGACAGCGAAATTTTTGGTATTACCTTTTTTGTGGGGCGAATTGAGAGCTACAAAAAAGGTTCTCATAAAAATTTCGTTATCTTCCTTAAATTCGGAGATATCTCTCAAAAACTCGGCTAAGAGCTCAAGTCCTTTTACTGTTTCGGTCAAATTCAATTTTATTTACTTGAGAACTATTTTTATTTGTTTTCTTCTTTCATTAATGTCATTAAGTTTCATACTGTGTGACATGAACTCATTTTACTTCTAAATTCCAGCAATTGTTCATGAATAAGTTTTCTCTGAATGCATCAGAAAACATGAAAAATCCTGGAAGAACTAATTACATCGCGACGTCAATTCCCGAGGATGACCCAACGCTAATAAAATTAAAACCCTCACGAAAAAAAAAAATAATTGAATCCAATTTCTCTTTGAGAGCAATTGTACTCCATAAAGGAATATGCAATAGCACCAGTGGAAAAAATCCTCCACACATACTCAACAAACGCGAAAAGCTTTTATTTCTCTCTCGAGGCTCACCCCATTTGGGGTCACAAGCACCGAGATTAATAAATTCCCCGAGTGAAAATCCCCAACTTCCAACAAAACTCAGCACGCAACGTTTTATGATGCTTGTCATCCCACAAACCGATAACACAGTATCGTAATTAATCCCGTGATTAATGAATAATTCTCTCATTGGTTCCATACGCCTGGATAATCTTACCTTTTTAACTAAAACTTCATCACCAACTTTCCACCAGAGTTATCAATTTCCATTCATTTATTCTCCGAGTTTTCTCAATGTTATTTTGTTCTGTATGTTCTGTGTGTGTCTTATTTGATGTTTACGTACGCATAAGCTCTTCTTTGTCGAAGAAACTCACCTGCAACAGACAGAGAAAAAAACAAATTAATGCTATTGTTTATTGTCTTATTTATTAAAATATTTTCAATATGAATATGAATATTCAGTACTAAATGGCGTTGAATTCTCCAGATTTTTGTTATTTTAAGGGAATAATTGATATGAAATCTACAATTTTCATTCATTCTTCCATAAAATCTCGAATTTTCAAACACGAAAATCCTTAAAATTTCGGTGTTTCTATAATACGATAAAAGTTTCCAACAAGTGAACCGGAAATTTCAACCAAAAGTTTTTGATAGAGCATGTAACAAACGACTTCCCTCGCCGAATTATCTCCAAAACTAATGGTTCTAGGAGAAAATGTCAGGAAACATCTTTTTCAGAGAATTTTCTCACCGACGAAAAAGCTGTTATCACATTCCCCCTAAACCAACTCATTACCGAGATGATTAATTTTCAAATAAACTAGCATATGTGAGTTAAAACATTTCACCGTTGATTAGTGAATTAGTAATTGGACTCGATTTAAAGGGAAAAAAATGAAATAATTTCAGATTTAATTAAAATTGAATAAAATTCCTCATTTTTTAGCTGCAGAGCTCCAAGTATTCTGCAACTTACTTGAATTTTCAATTAATTGAGTATTCCACAATATGTTTACCTAATTTTTCCTAATTTTTATGACTTTTCATCGAATAACTGAAACGTAATTTACAGTTTGAATTAATTCTTCCATAAAATCTCGAATTTTCAACTACAAAAATCCTAAAAGTTTCAGTGGTTCTACAATACGATAAAAGTTTCCACCAGGTGAACCGGAAATTTCAACCAAAAGTTTTTGACATTGCACGTAACAAACGACTTCCCTCGCGCGAATTATCTCCAAAACTAATGGTTCTCGAAGAAAATGTCAGAAAACATTTTTTTCGATAATTTTCTCACCGACGAAAATCTCTCATCACACTTCCCCCCAAACCAACTCATTACCGAGACAATTAATCCCCAAATAAAAATAGCAAATTTGAGTTACAACGTTTCACCAGTTCTATTGATTTATTACAACAATAAATATCAATTACACAGGTATTAAATTGTGTACATCTGAAGGCAATTAACTGCAAGGAGGAGATAGAGTCGTAAATAAACCGAGTGGTGAGCATTTTAAAACCCCCTCATTCTTTATTTTTTTAATGAATGAGAGACGAACGATGATGTGAATAAGTGAAAAAAAAGAGGGAAATATGAAAGTAATGCATCACTGTGATCAAGTGGAAATGTATTTCATGATGTATGTGCCACAGACATGCATTTAACTGCGTCAAAACCCCGGGTGTTATGAACAGAATGGGGACTGGGAGCCAGTCGACATTCTCACCGTAGTATTCTCATGATAATTGATGATACGAAAATGGGCACCCTCTACCCCCCGTACGGAACTGCGGGGGCAGGGGGAGGGGGAGGGGAGAGGGATATAGTTTGAGCGGCTAGTGAGAAAAGTAGTGCACAGACAGACGGTAAATGGCGTTACGATTGATGGTACTCGATTCTCAATGCGCAAAATGCCTCTTCACCTTTCTGTACCCCAACTGGGTGAGATAACATTATTCCATTTAATCTCACCATCACTGGCCACATCCCTCTTGTGGGAGTTTTACTGCGGATATTGTTTATGGGGCTATTGATCCATTGCTCGTGGGTTAGGTAGGATGTGTACACAGGGAGAAAAATTTTGTTGAATAATTCGTGTGCTAGAAAAATTCTGTGGCACCAGAAAAATTGGTGCTGCGCACGATTTTTTTTTGCATAACACGACAATTTTTCTGGTGCTGCACGTGAATTTTTCTAGAAAATCTTTCTCAGTGCAGTGAAAACGATTTTTTTTAGAGAAGTAAGGTGAATGGTACAGTTTCTGATTAGGAATAGTAACTGATTTCTTAAGGCCGTGACTATTCGCACCATTGCGTGAATCACTCCCGTACACTCCACGCATGCGTGAAGTTTGTGTGTTTCACGCAGTTGAAGTTTTATACACCTGTGTGTTTCACGCAGCCGAATTTTCATACTGCTGTGTATTTCACGCAGTTGAAGTTTTATACACCTGTGTGTTTCACGCAGCCGAATTTTCATACTGCTGTGTATTTCACGCAGTTGAAGTTTTATACACCTGTGTGTTTCACGCAGCCGAATTTTCATACTGCTGTGTATTTCACGCAGTTGAAGTTTTATACACCTGTGTGTTTCACGCAGCCGAATTTTCATACTGCTGTGTATTTCACGCAGTTGAAGTTTTATACACCTGTGTGTTTATACACACAGGAGTGTGAAATACACAGGAGTATCTGCATACGACTGCGTGAAACACACAGGTGTGGAAAAATACAACTGCGTGAAACACACAGTAGTATAAAAATACAACTGCGT